CTCCTCCTCCTCCTGTCTGCTCCTCCTCCTCCTGTCTGCTCCTCCTCCTCCTCCTGTCTCCTCCTCCTCCTCCTGTCTGCTCCTGCTCCTCCTCCTGTCTGCTCCTCCTCCTCCTGTCTGCTCCTCCTCCTTCTCCTGTCTGTAGATCCTCCTGTCCCGCTGCCCACCACCCGGGGTGTGTTCTAGCCTTCCAGCCTGGCAGCCAGGCTTGGCTACATGAGCCCAGCTCCCTGCTTCTGTTTTTTCTGCACCTGTGAGACCCCCTCTTTCCCAGCAGAGCTCAGTTCCCCTCCTCCTGTGTGCCCACCCACACTAGTTCTCTGCATCCTTATTCTGGGGTGATGCTAATGGGGACCCTCAGCAGCACTGCGGGTCTCTCAGGCGTCTGCCCTCAGTCTGATAGAGCAGTGGAGGCCAGTGTGGGAGACATCGAGTCTGACCTTTGGGAGGCGCCCTTTCTTCTGCCCTGGGCAGCCACCTCGTGCCAGAGAGACAAGCAGCTCTGCCCTCCCAGTGGATCGAAGGCGCCGTTGGTCCCAGAAACCTCTGTGATGAGCCAGGAGGGGCAAGAATTGATCGCATGCCTTCCCCAGGCCCCGTTCCGAGTCACACACCTACCAGTCTGCAGGCAGGGCCTCGGGCTGTGGGCCCTCCACGGCAGCTCGGAAGATAATACTCCAAAACACTGCTGTGCGGTTCTTGTTGTTTTTTGGATTAGTCATCTCTGTTTTATCTTTTTATTGTCGTGCAGATATTTGCCAAGTGGACGTTTTTCACGTGCACGGTCTAGTGACATCAGTCACGTTAACCGTGTTGTGTGTCCCACCCGTGATCGTTCAGTAATTTGCTGACTGTTCCAGCATCATAAACAGAAGCTCACCGCTTCCGAAACAGTGGCTGCCCGTTCCCACTTCCTCCCACCCCTCGTCACCGCTCCCACAGCTTTGGTCTCTGTACCTTTGTCTGTGAGATTGTGATGTTATCCCTAATCTGGGGGAGTCTGTACCGTCCCTCGGGGCTCAGGTGGATGTTGTGATTGGGAAGCAGCAGCAGAGCAGGGGTTTCAGATCAGGGTGTTGAGTCTGGACCCGGTGCCCTGGGGCCTCAGGCAGATGGGAGCAGAGCTGGGAAGGACGGCTTGGGCCGTGAGCGGGCTCGTGGAACGCCCGGCCTCTGTGACTGACGGATTTCATCCCGCACGATGGTTTCGAGGCCCGTGCGTCTTGTGGCCACACCAGGACCTCATGTCTCTTCGGGGCTGAGTAGCATTTCTTTGTGTGTTTCTGCCACGTTGTGATGGATGTTTCGGTGACCAGCGCTGTGCTGAACACGGGGGTACTTGTGTGTGTGTCTGCGTCACGGCGGTCAGTCCCCTGGGTGTGTGGACGTACAAGTAGAATTGCTGGGTGCCGTGGCTGCTCTGTGTTTTAAGGAACCGCCAGACTGGTTTCCACCCCAGCTGCGCTGTTTTATGTTGCCATCAGCAATTTCCCCACGTCCTTGTCTGGTTTGCTCTGAGCCATCCTGGTGCGCGCGAAGCGGGTGTGCCCGCTTGTTGTGTTTGTTGGCTGTTTGCTCTCGTATCTGTTGGACGATCTTCCCGAGCTCGTTGTTAGTATAGTGTTTGCGTGGTCTATCTTTTTGTTGTTAGGTTTTTTATATATTCCAGGTATTCAGTTCTTATCCAGCTTGTGGTTCCCAGACATTTCCTTCCAGTCTGTGGGGTGTCTCTTCACTGTTTTGGAAGTCTTTTGCTGAACAACAGCGTTTAATTTTGATGGAGTCCAGCGCATCCACTGTGTCTTTTGTCGACGGCGCTGTTGGCGTCAGATCTGAGAACCTGCTATTAAAAAGCCATACCTGGCCTTTCCCTACAGAAGTTTGAGCTCTTGCATTTAGGTCTTTGGTCCGTTTTGAGTTAATTTTGTGTGAGGCGTGAGGGCAGCTTCATTCTTTTGCTTGTGGAAACCCTTCTGTACATCACCATGGAGTAGAGAGACTTTTCCTTCCCGCCCCCCTTGCATGGACTTGGTAAGAATCAGTCAGCTGTCGACAGGTGCGTTGGGTGCTGGAGTCTGAGCTCGGCTCTGCTGGGCCATGTGTCTGTGCTGTGTGGTGCTTGCTGCTTCTGCCGTGCTCCTGGAGCCCTCGCCACGCCTGGATGGTGTCCCTTCATCCTCCACACACCCCAGCCTGGCGCCTGCCCACCGGCAGACTCTCTGCGTCCTGGGTGGCACGCATCTTGGGGAGACCCCATGCAGCCAGTTCTCCCCCAGAACAGGGTCTGCTGGGCCCAGTGGGTCAGGCCTTCTTTGGGCTCCCGGGTGATGGAGCAGCCTGCCCCGTGCTTAGGGAACCAGCGGCTCAGCTCTTGTTTTCTGCGCGGGGAAACCGAGGCCTGGCGGGGGGAGGGGAGGCGGGCGGGGCCGCAGCTGCCTGAGCCCTCGCTCTGTCACAGAGGAGCCCAAGGTGGGCATCAAGACCATCAAGGTGTACTGCCAGCGCATGCAAGAGGAGAACATCACCCGCGCCCTCATCGTGGTGCAGCAGGGCATGACGCCCTCTGCCAAGCAGGTGGGCACCTGCGGGCGGGCACACGTGGCCCATCCAGGAAGTGGTCGCCTGTTTGCGACAGCCCTGACCGCTTCCCTTCTGGTTCTGAGGCTGAACAACGTACCTCACTTCCCTTCCTGGCGCTCCTCCCTGTGCGGGCCCCTCCTCCGTGCGGCCCCCTTCCCTGTGTGGCCTCCTCCCTGTGCGGGCCCCCTCCTCCGTGCGGTCCCCCTTCCCTGTGTGGCGCTCCTCCCTGTGCGGGCCCCCTCCTCTGTGCGGCCCCCCTTCCCTGTGTGGCCTCCTCCCGCATGTGGGCCCCCCTCCTCTGCACGCCCAGACCGGGTGGGTTTCACCCAGGGCACCCCCACCCCGACTGGAAAGGGGGGCTGCACACGCTTCTGCCTGGGGGCCCTGGGTCACCTGCCCTGGTTCTGGGTGGGCGGATATTGGGTGGGTCCTTCTGGGTGGCCCACAGGGCAGGTCCCTGTCTGGGCACCGTCGGTCAGATGGGAGTAAATGAGGCTAATGGAGGCGCAAGGACGGTACCAGCCTTTGCCTCCCGGGCCGTCGGTTCACGACACAGTTCCCACACAGACGCCGGGCTGTTTCCCTGGTTTATGACACAGAGGCCCTCCCAGGGGCAGGGGGACACAGAATAGGGGCTGTGTCCAGGGCCTCTAGCCCAGGGGCTGGGAGCTCGCTCCCCTTGGTCTCTGAGTGTCTTCTCCCCATCCCCAGCTCTGGTCGGGCTAGGGTACACTCCCCCGTCTCTGGTCGGGCTAGGGTACACTCCCCCGTCTCTGGTCGGGCTGGGGGTTCACTCCCCCGTCTCTGGTCGGGCTGGAGGTGCACTCCCCCGTCTCTGGTCGGGTTGGGGTGCACTGCCCCGTCTCTGGTTGGGTTGGGGTGCTCTCCCCAGTTCCCCTGACTGCAGTCTCCTGCCAGTCTCTGGTCGACATGGCCCCCAAGTACATCCTGGAGCAGTTCCTGCAGCAGGAGCTGCTCATCAACATCACGGAGCACGAGGTGAGTGCCTATGCAGCTGTGAGAACAGGGACGCGGGGATGACGCCCCAGCCTGCCTGTGTGTGGACCCGTGAGCAACCGGGCAACAGGGAGGCCCTGCCTGGGGGGAGCTGGTGGGGGGTTGGGTGGAGACTCTGGCTCTGCCTGTAGGTGGGGCAGCTCCTGGGGGGCCTGGGGGCTGGGCGACCCAGAGGCGGGGTGGGATCCTCCAGGAGGAGAACAGAGCGTGGCCCCCTGGGCGTGGCCCCCGAGCGGGCGGGCCCCTCCCAGTGCCGCAGTGGTGGCTCTTCTCTTCGCAGCTGGTGCCCGAGCACGTTGTCATGACCAAGGAGGAGGTGACGGAGCTGCTGGCCCGATAGTATCCTTTCTGGACCCCCTGTGGCCCCGCTTCTTTCCCCTGTCCCCTCTGCCCCGTGCCTTATGTCCTTTCCCCTGGACACCCATGTGGCTTTTCCCTGACCACACCTCCCAGTAAACTCCGGGAGAACCAGCTGCCCAGGATCCAGGCCGGAGACCCGGTTGCGCGATACTTCGGGATAAAGCGCGGCCAGGTGAGAGGGGCTCCTTCCCAGGACTGAGAGGTGGGGCCCTCAGGGGTGGGGCCAGAAGCAGGAATCCAGGTGCCTGAGAGGCAGCCCCCCAGGGAGGAGAGGCCCACACCACCTGGTCCCTGCAGCTCCTCCCCTGGTGCTGGCAGACTCCCTTCTTGGAGAGCCCGAGGTCTGGGCAGGGCCCGGTCACTGGGGGGACCCACCGCCCTGTGTGCCCTGGAGACCCCGTCTGTGCCCAAAGCCCCTACACTGACTGCACCCCCAACTCCCCGCCCGCCCCCTGCAGGTGGTGAAGATCATCCGGCCCAGCGAGACGGCGGGCAGGTACATCACCTACCGGCTCGTACAGTAGCGGACACGCCCGCAGGTGAGGGCCCTGCTCGGACGGGGCAGGGAAGAAGCAGGGGCTGGGAGGGGTGTTGCAGAGAGAGGGTGTGTCTGAGCTCCCTATGTACTGCACCCCCCCACCCTCGTGGTCCACCTGGGTACCCAAGGGCACTGGGTGTCAATGAGGCGTCATCATGCACACCTGCCTCAGCTCTCACACAGCCGCTGCAGGTGGGAGACCAGCCTTCCAGAGGGCTGGGAACCTGGGGACTCAGGAGGGGATGTCAGGTCTCCGCCCTGAGCAGTGCCTGGGAGGGGCTTTGGCATCCTGGGAACTTGAGGTGGGGCAGTGCCTGCACTGTTGGACCCCACTCTGGCAGACCCCAGTCCACCTTGAGCACGGGCTTCTCTGTTCTCAGGAGCCCTACCCCCTGGGGACCTAGATGTTGCCGAGCCCCAGAGTGCTGCATCAGAGCCCGGCTGTTCCCCTTTGTGGTCCACGGCCTGTGTCTGTGCACTGGGCGCCCACCTCGTGCTCTCAGGCCATCTCAGTGCCTGCAGTGCCCTGTCGCAGGCCTCAGCCCTGCTTGTTACCACCTGCAGGGTGGGCCTGGACTTCTTGGCGGGGCAGGGTATCCAGCCCTGGGGTGCCCGCTCACAGGGTCACCCTCTTCACTCAGCCCCGGAGACAGACGGACCGTGGGGACCAGCACCCTCAGGACACCGGCCAGGATGAGGACGGCGTGCTGTGGCTGGCGACGCACGGTGTCCCCGCGGTGGGTCCTTGGGGCCTGGCGGGCTGTCAGTGCTGATGGTGCTGGATCCACACAGGCCACGGCCCGAGGAGAGCAAGAGGGGCTGCGAGGACCCAGCCCTGGGCAGCCAGCGTCGTGGAAGAGAGTCTGGGTCTTCTCAGCTTCCTCGGCTCCAGGGGCCCCGTGCTCGCCGGCCCGAGATCCCCCTGTGTGTTTCTGAACTCAGCCAGGGGTGAGGTTAAGAGCACGTCAAGTTGTGAGTCAGTGCTGAACGCTGGGTGTTGTTAAAGTTAAAGGTCTTTTGAGTAACCGCGTCTGTGTGTTTGAGAAATCTGAGCAGGATGGCAGGGTTACAGCGTGCGGCCCCTGTGACAGGTCTCTGCAGCGTAGTTTAATTGTCCCCTTTCGTCATGAGTGCCCTGCTGGCACAGCCATACTCCCTGGTCACTGCCCAGGGTCACTCTCTCACCTTCTGGCCTTTCCAGTGCGTATTTACACTAACACGGCGACCAGGGACATGCTTTCCTCCTCACTTCCTCTCCTCTCACACAGATGTCCCCCACAGGGAGCTGCCAGGTGGGGTCCCGCAGGGAACGTGCTGGAGGTGGTAACTGCCAGCGTCCAGTCCCGAGGGCGGTGGCGTCCTGCCCGTTCCCCGTCTCCCCCGTCACCCTTCTGTGTGATGAGCAGCCGGTTCTCTTGGCCGTCCTCTCGGCTGGTCTGTGCTGGCTGCACCCTGTTGGGCCGTCTCTGGACCGCAGCCGTGCGGGGGGACGACAGCTCGCCGTTGCCCTTCGCCCTTGCTCGTGGTGTGGTGATGCCTCGGAGTGTTGTTGTCATTTTCCTTACATCCGATTGTTCTCCTCAAGGTGAAATTAACCCAAGAAAGCTAACGTATTAGAGTGCACAATTCAGTGGTTTCAGTAAACGCACCTTGGTCCAGTTCCAGAACATTCCATCACCCTTAACAGAAACTCAGTGCCCCTAAGCGGTGACTCCCCGTTCCCCCACCCCCACCCCTGGCAACCACTGAGCCACACCGCCTCTGTGGACTTGCCGGTCCTGGGCAGTTCATGTCACCGGGATCAGACACCATGTGGCTTTTCACGTCCCTTCTCACTGAGCATCCCGTTTGCAAGGTTCATCCGCGTTGTTAACGTGTCAGAGCTTCATTCCTTCCTACGGCTGAATAGCATTTCACGGTGTGGCTGGACCACGCTGTGTCCATCCAACATCTGCTGATGGGCACGTGGGCCTTCCCACCTTTGGCCGTTGTGAATCGTGCTGTGTGCGAACCAGGTGCCACTTCACAAGTCCCCGTGCAAAGCCCAGCCCAGGTTCTGGAGAGTCGTTGTTGCTCCTGGGGACAGGATGTTTTTTGTGAGGTTTGCTGTTTGAGTAATGCTGACAAACGGGAGAGCTGCAGCCTGGCTGAACACTGCCCGGTTAGGTCATTCTGTTAGTTCTTCCGTGTAGACGGGCTGGCAGCCTTTCTCTGTGAAGTGTCAGAGAGGAAGCGTTTCTGTTTTCATGGGCCACAATTGCTGTTGTAATTACTCAGCTTTGCTGTTGTAGGGTGGGTGACAGCCCCGGCTGACTGTACTTAAAGGAATGGGCGTGGCTATGTGCTAATAAAACTTTATTTAGAAAACAGGCAGCGGGCCATTGTCTGCCAACCACAATCACCTCCTTCTGATAACTACTCTCTCAGAAAGCCTTCTCGAGGGTGAGGTGAGGGCCCCCCTCAGCTGCGGCCCTGATGCCGCATCTGTTCCTCATGTGCTGGGCCGCTTACCTTGCCGCGGTGTGGCAGGTCTGGGGGCTGTCCTCCAGCAGAAAAGCAAGGCCCCCTCGCCCTCATAGCTCTAATCGTATGTGGGTGCACATGTGGTCTGATTGTTTCTCAGTGACACGTGGGGCTTCCTTTCTGCGCACGGAACCTCCCAGGCCCGCTTGCGAGTCCTCCTCCCAGCTGGGCCTGCTCTGCCGTCCCGGTCGGGCCTTTGCCTGTAGGTGTGTATGTGAGCGGCCCGCATGCAACGCTGCCTCAGTGACGGGAATTGGGGTGCTCTCGTCTCTTCCACCTGTACTGTCCAGGACCTTGGGAGGCTCTTGCAACTTAAAGTAAAATTGAAGGCTCAGCCTCTCAGTCACCCCTGCCACCCCTCTAGAGCTCAGTGGCCACGTGGGGCCCGTGGTTGTCATGTTAGCACAGATGGAGACCATTTAGGTCATCAGGAACGTTCTCCTGGACGGCGCTGAGCAAGAAGTCCATGTGAAGGGGCTCTTTTACGTCAGAGAGTTTGCATAGACCACCTTGAAGACCACCGGTGGTGGGCCCCTCTGCGGGGTCAGTTCTGTCCCTCACCCCCCAGTGAGAAGGACAAGGACAAGGGTGAAGGGCACTCTGTCCCCAGACTGCGTGGCCAGAGAAGACAGACTCAGCCTAAAATTTTATTTAAGCAAAGTAGACATGCAGGTCAGAGAAGACCTCGGGACCTGTGGGAGATGCCATCGTATCCCTAACCGTAGGTGCCCAAAGCAGGTTTTCTGGAAAAGTCCTGAAGGCAGCGTCCAGCCACAAGTGCACAGCCTCCAGCTGGGCGTCTGGAACTGCCTTCCACACAGTGAGGCTGAAACGTGGCATCCACTCTTGATGGCACAGAGCCCGCCTCGGCGGGGAGTCATGAGCAGGACTCCTTCCTCAGCTGCGCCTAGGCAGCCAGCGACGCCGATCCCTGCCCACCACCCAACGGTTCAGACAGGCTCGGGCCACCTCTCCTGGCGGATGCCCCCCATGATACAGCCAGCGCGGAACCTCATGCTGGGCAGCTGGGCGCCGGCTGCGTTGTTGGACTGGTTGGTGTTGTACACCAAGAGCTGCTGGGCCAGCTCCTCCGCTCCGTCATCAGGAGCCTCCAGCGGCTCCTTGCCGCCGCCACGCGCCGCCTCCTCCTCCAGGTAGGTCGCCTGCACCGACAACAGCAGGTCCGAGGCTTCCTCCAGCTCTGAGTCTGAGTCGTTGGACGGTAGGTGAGATCCTAGGAGAGTCCAGGAGGGCGACAGAGTCAGAGCGGAACAGGGAGAGAGAGGAATAGACCGAGAAACAGAGACACAGGGACAGAGTCAGACAAAAAGAGGGACTGAGAGATAGGGACAGACAGACAGAAGGGCAGAGAGGGACAGGGACAGGGCAGAGAAGGAAGAGGAGAGACAGAAGGAGACAGGAGGACAGAGATTAAAGGAAAGCGGGAGCATGGCTGGCACAGGTGGCCGACCCCCACTCACCTCGGGGCCCATCCTCGGCCTCCTCCTGCGTGGGCTCAGCTGCCACCTTGCCCACCTCCTGGAATGGCACCTGCACCACCACCTCGGCCCCTTCCTGCAGGGCGTATGGGGTCAGGGAGGCCAGGCTGCAGCTCGACGCCCCCTCCACCTTGTCAGTTAACTAGAGGCCCCAGGAATCCCACTGCTGCACGAGTGGGACTGCACGGCTCTTCTGCATCCTAGAACTTGCTCAGTGGGTGCAGAACATGCCAGACAGAGGTACCAGCCCCGGCACGGACATCACACCGGTGAGGGGAGAGGCCTCAGAGGCACCAATGGCCCCGGCTTTCCCACCCCACTGGCCACAAACCCCCCTGACCTGCCCCCCAGAAGCCTGCTGCCCAGACACGGGGAGACGCTGGAGGAGATAAGACAAGGGCTGAGAAAGGGGCAGGATGCTGCTAGGAGAGGAGGTGTGGAGAGCGTGGCTGTTACGGCTCATCTGTTTCCCCAGAAAGACACATTGAAGATTAACTTTCAGCACCCCTGACTGTGACCTTGTTTTGGAAATAGAATTTTTGAGAAGTGAAGATCATATTGGAATAGGGTGGGTCCTAGTTCCAGCTGAGAGATGTCCTGAGAAGAACAGACAGACAGAGGCCAGACGGCCATGTGAGGATGGGGGCAGAAAGGAGAGTGACGTGGCCACAAGCCCAGGGACGCCTGGGGCCACAGAAGCTGGAAGAGACAAGGAAGGACCCTCCCCTAGAGCCTCTGGACAAAGCGTGGCCCTGCCGACTCCTTGGTTTCAGACTTCTGGCCTCCAGAACCCTGAGACCATGAACACCTCTTCTAAGCACCCCCAGCATGTGGATCTTTGTCACGGCGGCCCAGGCCACTCAGACAGGAGGGGATAAAACCTTCTCTGAAATTCCAGCCCAGGTGAAGAGGGTTCCTCGCAGCCTGAACCCTCTCCTGGGCCCCTCCAACCTCAGTTTCCCCATCTGTCTGGTGGGGACAGCCCCAGGACACTCCTACAGGCTGCAATGAAAGCCCAAGACTCAGTGGGGCAGGCACGCCCCAGTTGAGCGGCCACAAGCTGGTGGGTGTCCCTGGGATGGCCAGGGGCGTCAGATGTCAGCCCAGAGCCGGCGAGCGCCGGCCCTGGCGCCTTTGCACTGGTGACTCCCTTGGCCTGGCCCATCCCAGACCCGAGCCTGCATGTCCGTCCACATCCCATGTCTCCCTGTTGTTTCTTGTGCCCACGCTGGCTGGACCCCTGCCCCACGCCATCCACCAAGACAGGGACCTGGGATCCGCCACCCTACCTGGGCCCCAGGCACCTCCTCGGGCTCATCCTCAAAGACCAGGGTATAGTGCGCAATGAGGGTCTCCACGACGCGCGCTTGATGGGGGTAGTCCACCAGGGACGACAGGGACACAGTGGCCTCGGTGGGTCGCGGCCGCAGCAGGGTGGGCCCAAACACAATGCCCAGGTTCCCGGGTGTCATTTTGTTGTCCTGCTCTACCTGCACGATCCTGGGGTCGGGCGGTGGGCTGAGCGGGGCTGGGGGGACCCGGGGAACACCACCCCAACAGGCAGGGTGCTCTCACCTGCACAGGTGCTGCAGGTACTATAGCGTGTCCCCCAGGACCCCCCCGCGGCCGGGCGCCCTCACCTGCGCAGGTGCCGCAGCAGGTACTGCAGCGTGGCCCGGTTCTCGGGAGGCAGGTCCCGCAGCAGCTCCCGCAGCCGGACCGCCATAGCCGTAACCGTAGCCACGGGTACTGCCTCGCTCTCACCGCTGTCCGGCCGGCCCCGCGACGCCGCCTTGGCCTCAGCCTCCGCCTTCAGGCTGTCCTTGGCCAGCCCCACGAGCTCGTGGTACAGGCGGAAGGACAGGAGCGGCTCCGGCAGCTGGAGGCGAGGCGGGGCGGTGTCAGCCCCCTAAAGCACCCCCAGCACCACCCCACCACCCCCGCCGCATGCTGGTCCCGCCCACCAGGGTCTTGACCACGCCCCTGCCAGATTCTCATTCGCACGCCAGGCCGGCTCCACCTCCTGCTCACCTGGCGCAGGTAGAGCTTGAGCACATTGCTGATGTCGTGGGGTGAGGCCTGCGACAGCTCCACCAGCTCCTGGCCGTTCTCGAAGGCCTGGCACAGCTTCTCCACGCGCGTCTTCACCCCGTTGACCCGATAGATGCCCTGGGGTGGGGGGGCTCCGTCAGCCTCCGCCCTCCCAGCCGCCCTCTCCGCCAGGCCCCCCACGCACGGTCACCTTGGTGTGCAGCGCCCGTCGCTCAATCTCGCCCACGCACTTCTTGATGATGAAGGGCACGCCGTCTGCGGTGCTGCCGGCCGCCCTGCCGAAGTCCTGGCCGAAGAGCTGCAGCCGGCCCTGCAGCTTCTTGTGGCCACACTGGATGGCCAGCGTCTCCAGGCACTTCTTGTGACAGGCCAGGCAGCACTGGCGAGGGGGGTGCAGGGTGAGCGGAACCCCTCCGGGTGGGGAACTGCTCCTCCCCACGCCCGGCCGACAGCCCCCTTCTCGAGGCTCATCCCGGTTCCCCCGCGTGGCCGCCCACCCACCTCCTCGCACTCGGCGCCCTGGAAGTACACGTAGCTGTTGCACTCGCGACACTTGGCAGGCGTGCGCAGCTTGCGCAGGTGGTGGGTCCGCGCCGCCTTGGACAGCCCCACGTTGCGGAAGGGCCCGCTGGGCACGGCCACGGGCAGCGCGGGGGCCGCGCCGTTGAGGTCGCCTGGGGCGGGCAGACGGTCAGTAGGGCCTGAGGTGCGCTCGCAGGTTCCCAGGGCAGGGCGGGGCCGGGCCAACTCCCCAACACCCCTGGGGCACAGCCCTCACCCTGCTCGAAGGCCGATGCCTCCGGGCCACCCTCCTGGTCCACCTCCTCGCTGGACGACATGGTGCCGCTGGACAAGGTCCGCTCGAACTTCTTCAAGTCCCCTGAGCAGGAGACAGGGCGTCATAACTCCTGAGTGGGTGGATACCTCCCCCTGAACCCTTGCTCCTCCTCCAGACAGCCCCTCACCTGAGCCGTGCCCCGGATCCAGGCTGCTGTCGGATTCTGAGACGGAGCTGGGCCAGGACTTGTGCACCTGGTGTCCGCGCCCACCTGGTGGGGGACGCGTCTCTGTGATGGGTGGCGGGAGGCAGCACCCACTCCCCCAACCTGTGCCCCCACCCCGCCCGGCACTCACCCCTCCGCTCCTTGGTCACCGCCCCCTCTTCGGATCCTCCTGCCTCGGAGGGGCTGCCGGCTTCCACCCCCGCCACATCGCTGACATTGAAGCTGCCCTTGCGAGCGCGCATTACCGGGGACCTGGGGCGCACCGGGAAGAGGGCCATAAAGGGGGTCCCCGAGGCAGCTTTACACCCACCCACCTACACGTAGGAAACCGGCTCCCTGTGGTGGGTTGAATTGTGTTCCCCAAACAGATAACGTTGGAGTCCTGACCCTGGCGCCCATGAACGTGACCCTGTTTGGAAATAGGGTCTTTGCGGATGAAATTGAGTTCACAAGGGTCATACTGCAGCAGGGTGGACCCTATTCCCATCTGAGGGTGTTTTATAAGAAGAGACACACAGGGCAGATAGCCATGTTTAGACAGGCAGAGACTGCAGTGATGCGGCCACACGCCAGGAACGCCTGGGGCCCCCAGAAGCTGGAAGAGACCCAGAGGGACCCTGCCCACACCCTATATTTGAGCTTCTGGCCTCCAGAGCCGAGAGAGCACACATTCCTGTCCTCTAGAGCCCCCAGCTCTGTGGGACTCCCCGGGTGGGCGGGCGCAGCAGTACCAGGCGCCGGCCGAGACGTGGGGCTCGAAGTCGTAGTGCACGTCCGGCTCCTCCCCGCGCTGCAGCTGGCGCACATGGGAGGCGTACTGCTGCCCGGGGTCGTACAGCTTGCTGCTCTCACACAGCATCTGGAAGTTGACGGGTAGCGGCGCCGTCTGCTTGTGCATCAGCTCGTAGTAGGAGATGGTAGCCTGCGGGCGGGGCGGGGCGCGCGCGGGGCGCGGTCAGGGGTGCAGCCAGTTCTGCAGCCGGACAGCCCTCATCCCGCCCCGCGCCTCACCCCTGTCCCGTCCTCGCCCCCACGTGCGCCCTGCGCCCCCTGCCCTCACGCCCCGCCCTCAGCCCCTTGCCAAGCCCTGCCCGCACCCCGCCCTCCCCCGCCCTCGCCCCACGCGCCGCCCCCGTCCGGCGAGCCTCACTGCACCCACCGCTTTGATGGTCTGGTCGCTCTGCCGCACAACATCCTGCAGCTGCCGCAGCGCCGTCACCTTGGTGTCCTCCAGCTCTTGCTTCTGCGTCTTGGCGTCCGCCACGCACGTGCGGTACGTAGCCATGGCCTCCTCCGCCTGGGGGAGACGACACGGTGCCTCAGCCCGGCCCAGCCTTCAGGGGACCCCCCAGGAACCCCAGCGCTGAGCCAGGCAGGAAGGGGTATTGTGGGTTGAATTGTGTCCCCCAAAAAGATACATGTGCTAGAATCTCCTGGAATAGGGCTGAGTCGACAGGACTCAGAAAGGCTGGAGAGGTAGCTTCCAGGAGGTCGTAATGAAGCTGCCACCTGAATGGGGGGTGGGGGGCAGGGTTACAAGGAGTGATGGGGATACTTGGGGGAAGAGGCCAGGCAGAGGGAACAGCAAGTGCAAAAGCAGGTGCTGTGGCGTAAATTGTGTCCCCAAAACCCAAACCCAAAACCCGCTGCTGTCAAGTTGATTCCAATTTGTAGCGACCCCATAGGACAGAGTAGAACTGCCCCGTAGGGTTTCCAAGGAGCGGCTGGTGGATTCGAACTGCCAACCTTTTGGTTAGCAGCTGAGCTCTTAACCACTGTGCCCCCAGGGCTCGGCGTCCCCAAAACAATACGCTGAAATCCTAAGCCTGCGCCCGTGAACATGACCTTGTTTGGAAAGAGGGTCTTTGGGGACATTATCAGTTAACACAATGTGATGCTGGAGGAAGGCAGGTCCTACTCCGGTGACTGAGAGACAAACCCAGAGGCAGGGAAGGGACTGATGTGGCCACAAGCCCAGGAATGCCTGGGGCCACAGAAGCCGGGAGAGACCAGGAAGAACCCTCCTCTAGAGCCTCTGGAGCGAGCGGGGCCCTGCGCACACCCTGAACTCAGACTCCTGGCCTCCAGAGCAGAGAATGAGAGAGTGTCTGTTTGCAGCCGTCCGGCGTGTGGGGCTTTGTTGTGTGGCCCCAGGACCCTGACTCGGGGAAGGACTTCCAGGCGGGTGCAGCCCGCCCCGCCCGTGCCCTCACCTTGTTCTTGGCCTCCTCCTCCAGCCGCCGCCGCTTGTCCAGGCTCTTGGAGGCGGCACCACCGGCCCCGGGCCCGCCACCTGCCTGCTCATCCTCCGCCTTGGCCACCAGCAGGCGTGCCTTGGTGTGGTCATCAGAACGCTGCATGTAACCCTGCTTCGCTTTGCGCAGGTTGGCCTCGGCGTCTTGCTGCGGGGCACGAGGGCGGGGTCGGGTCTGACCTGTCAGGGACTGGCTCCCCAGCCCTGCCTTGCTTCCCACTCCAGCCAGCCGGATGCCACACATGGCACCTCTGCCACCCACCTCTCTCCCACCGAGACCCCACAGCCCAGCAACGAGGGGACACTCATGATAGGACCCAAAGGCCTGGGCATTGGTCAGGCCCACCGTACAGCCCAGGAGGCAGGCCCAGCTGAGCTCTGAGCGGCACGCCAGCACCTACACCCACCCGGCCTAGCGGTCCCTTTCACTTCTGTCTCTGGAGAACAGCAAGGCCATCCCGACAGGAAGTCAGGCACCCTCGGGGTCAGCAGGAAGAGCTCAGCCAAAACCAGGGGCCTTCGGGGACCACACGCACACCCTCACAGGCTGCACCGTCAGAGGCTCACACATGAAGAAAAGGACTCGGAGAGACCACAGGGGAGTTCTAGAAAGTCACCGCAGCCTGTGCAGGGCCGTGCAGTGGCTGACCCCAAACTCCAGAGCCAGGCAAGGAAAGACTGCAACGGACAGTCAGGCACCGACAACCTGTTACTATTAACATCAGTTACCACTAACAGCTACTGCTAACCAGAAGGTAGTGCTAACCACCAAGTGGTACTAACAAGCAGGTGGTGCTAACCAGCAGGTAGTACTAACCAGCAGGTGGTGCTGACCACCAAGTGGTGCTAACCTCCCGGTAGGGCTGACCACCAAGTGGTGCTAACCACCAGGTAGTGCTGACCACCAAGTGGTGCTAACCTCCAGGTAGTACTAACCTCCAGGTAGTACAACACTCAGCTGCTAAGTAACTGTGGCGGGGGTTCGAGCGCGGCCTGCCACCTTCCCCTGTGACCACCAATGCACCTTGTGCTCGAGACCAGATGTGGCGGCCCCGAGTCCTGGATGGATGAGCATGTGGCCTGACCCCCTTCTGTTAGGTGCCCTGACCCAGCACATTCCATAGCAGCTGATGGACCATCAGCATGTCCCTCCCCTCTTGCCCTGAGCACACATCACTGTCCCCAGGCCTGCTTAGCTAAGCATGTGCCTATATGGCACCTGGCCAAGCCCACTGCTGTATCTCCCGACGGGGAGAGAAGGGGTCCCTCTTTTCTGCAGCTTGTGGGTGCAGACCATTTCTGTGTCAGCTGCTGCTGTGGGGAGAGGCCCGCTGGCCATGGGGACCAGCACCCATCACTAGAGCTGACCACCTCGCTGCCTCTTCTCTGTGTGAGTAAAGACTCCTGCCCAGAGCCTGTGTGAGTCGTGTTTTTATTGGCCACCTCAACACCTGCAAGCCATGGAGTGTGCTGACATCTTATGGTTACTGCTCCTGGTGGTAGGCATTCGTATGCTCTTTGCCAGTCTCCATAAGGTGGGAATCCTGGCGGACACTAACCATCAGGTATTACAAGCATCAGCCACTAGTAACAATCAGCCCCTATTAACAATCACAAATTTTTAGCTGGCAAAACAGGCCACAAACAAAATCAAAAGTCAAACAAACTGGGAGAAGTCAGTAACTCACATCACCAAAGGCTGAGTTCCATAATATGTAAAGAGCTCTGGCAAATCATAAGTCCAACCCAAAGTGAGCAAGATCTGTGAACCAAGAGTTCACAAGTGGAGGAGTGCACAGCGACCCCTAGGGGAGCACATACACCGAGCCCCTTGGCTCAGCCATTCCACTTTGGACACCGATGTTAGATAAGCACTCACACGCTGCAAAGTGGGGGTGTAAGCTGGTCACAGATGTGATGTTTGTAATAGCGGCAGCTCAGCAACACCCAGAATGTCCGTCTGTAGAGATTTAGCGAAATAAACCTCGGTGCCTCCCACAGCTGAGAAAAGGGATGAGCCTCTCGGTAACGGGGAGAGGACGAAATCCCAGGAGCACAACCGGGTACCTGGCGAGCTGCCACACAGGGTACAAAGGCTGGGAGGGGAGATGCATACGCCAGCATCTGCTGGTAGGAGCCACAGAAACCACAGAGAGGGACCTAGGGCAGGAGGGGACTTCTCACCGCGCACCCTGTTAACAGCCAAAAGTTAAGCAAGAGTGAAGCCAGCGCGATTGAGACAGTGCAGAAGAGCACAGGGAGGGGAGTAGCGTCCCATGGACAGAATCACCCCGGACTCTTCCGGCCTGTTGTAACCACGGGAGACACCGCTCCACCCCGTTTCTGAACTGATGACGGCCAGCGATGGGACTGGAAGGTCCCCCCAAACCAGGAAAGCACGCACGGCCCAGCACCGGGGCCCGCCCGCACCACCCGTCGTACCAGCTTCCTCTGGGCGCGGTGCCACGACTCCTTGATCTCCTTCCTGCGCTTCTCATGCTCCAGCCGCCGCTGGGTCAGGGGCTGCAGGGAGGGGCCGTGAGTGGGGGGCCCGCGCTGCCCCGCCCACTGTGCTGCCCCGCCCACCGCGCTGCCCCGCCCCGCCCACCTGCAGGAAACTCTGGGTCTGCAGCCCGCCAGCTGCCTGCACCATGTCCAGGTCCTGTTCGAGCGCCAGCGAGTAGATGGACAGCAGGGGCATGTGGGGCTGCGGAGAGGGGGCAGTCACCGGGCGCGGCCCTGCCTCCTCCCTCAGTCCTCGCAGTGACCGCTGGCACCCCTGGACTTGCTCCCCGGCAGGAGGGACCCCCACCCCCGCCCCCTCACCTGTGTGACGCTCTGTCTGCAGTTGTGGACGAGCTTCTGCAGGCCTTTGGCGAACTCCAGTTCTGCGGGCAGGGAAGGTGTGAGGTG